ATATTTCTATGCCAAGTTTACAATCCATATCCTTATGATTTCTTCCTTCTGAACAAGGGTGTCTGTAGTACTTTGCTATAAAATTATGAATTCTTTCTTTTCCCTTCTTCATTGATCACCACCAAAATTCTTGTCACCGTCTTCCTCCTTTCCAATTTTATGAATTTGTTAGCATCAGTGTATTTTCTTAATATAAAATACTAATCTTCCTCCCTTTTTATCTAGGCTATTTCTTTTGAGTTAGTTGTACCCTTCCATAGCCATCTGAGAATTGAATTCCAACCCAGCAACTCTCAGGATCATGCATGATGTTTAATTCTTTCCCAGTTAGGAGCTCTTGCCCACCTTATTCATGACTTACATGTTAAGCCATTTAAGTAGAGGAATCTGTGACCATAGGTTTTGTTGCCAGCTCTCTTCTGGAGTTTGTTCTTTTGAGCTACACTTTCTTTCTCCTGTTACTCTTCTTCATGTATTATACGGGCTACTTTAGAAGATCTCTGCGGATGGTTTTTGCCTTCTTCTACTTATGTTTACCTATCTTATAGTATTCTGCCTTGCCTTCAATTCCATGTAAATAACATTCATTAAGTGACTACTATGAGCTAAGCTCTGTGCTAAGTGCTTGGAATACAAGTAAGAAAAAGACAGACAGACCCTGTTGTAAAGGTGCTCATAATCTAATTGGGAAAAGATAACACACATAAGAAAGCTAAAAAGAGGGTGAGAGACATTGCTGACCACTCAGCTCCAGCGTATGATGTTTCATGAAATCTAAACTGAGCAGAGTTAATGATGGAAAGTGGAGAGTTACCTGGGGAAAAGTGGAGAGTTGCCTTGTCTCTCACCTTCACTCTCTCTTTTCAGTTTAAAGTCCTTTAGATAAGATTCATTGCATACCAGCCTTCAATCCATGTTAGACTCTCTCTAATCGTGAGCAAGGATTTATTATTCTTGCTTTTAAAGCTATGGTCCAGAATTACAAATACCATTTTCAGATTTGACCTTATTGCATTCTTCTTATTTAAAATTAAGATTTATCATTGCTATTTGGAACCTCTATTTTTTAACAAAAGTAGATTTATTATTTATTTTTAACATTCATTTAAAGAGAATTAAATCCCCATTTCTCTTCCTCCCTCCTACCTCTCCTGCACCAATTGAGAAGGAAAGAAATGTATCAATTATACATGTGACATCATGCAAAATATATTTCCATATTACCCATATTACAAAAAGAAAAGCAAGAGAAATAAAGTGAAAAAAAATTGCTTCAATTTGCATTCAGATTTAGTCACTTCTGCCTCTGTGCCTCGAGTGCCTATGTCGGCTGGCCATGGTCTGATGCCGGCAGAGTGTGAAGAGATAAAGAATCATGGGAGCCAGGTGGGAGATGTCAAGAACAAACTCCGTTTATTGATCTGAGGGCTCAGGCTTATATAGTATTGAATCAAGCAATAGTAACATTATTTTCCAAGAAAAGCACAAACCTAATTAAGTGATTTCCTTATTTCCTTGTACCTTGTCTGTCACTTTCTTTCCTGTGTCCTGTCCTGTACTCTATCCGTTTCCTTCCTTCCTGCATTCTGTTCTCAAGATACAGAACAGGGGGAGTGGTGAGCCAACATCCTGAGTTTACACAGCTGCCAGGCTTAGTACAATCGACAGGTAAGACCCGAGCTGGCCTAAGCCCTCCAACTCCCCAGAGCTGGCCCTCAACATCTGTGGAAGTGGATAACAGTTTTCATCAAGAATCTTTTGGAATTGTAATGGATCATGGTATTGAGCCAAGTAGCTAAGTTTTTTTTTTGTTTTTTGTTTTTGTTTTCTTTTCTGTCTTTTACAACTGATAACCCTTATTACTATTACTATGTACAGAGTAGCTAATATTCTACAACTGATAACCCTTATTGCTGTTACCATGTTCTCCTGGTTCTATTTGCTTCACTTTGTATCAGTTCATATAGGTCTTCCCAGGTTTTTCTGTAACCATCTCCCTTATCATTTATTTTAGTACAATAGTATTCCATACACAATCATATATGACAGTTTGTCCAGCTATTCCTCAATTGATGGACATGCCTTCAATTTCTAATTGTTTGCCACCACAAAAAGAGCTGCTATAAATAGTTTTGTACATATAGATATTTTCCCCTTTGATTTATCTTTTTGAGATACAGATTTAGTAGTGGTATTGCAGTGTCAAAGAGGTATATACAGTTTTATAGCCCTTTGGGAATAATTCCCAATTGTCAAAAGATATGAACAGGCAATTTTCAGAAAAAGAAATTATAGTTATCTATAGTCATATGAAAAAAGGCTCTAAATTACCATTGATCACAGAAATAAAAATTAAAACAATTCTGAGATAGATATTCTCATATCTATCAGATTGGTTAACATTTGAGAGAAGGAAAATGACAAATGTTAGAAGGAATGTGGAAAAATGGGACACTAATGCACTGTTGGAGTTATGAGCTGATCTAAGCCTTCTAGAGAACAATTTGAAACTATACTTAAAGGGCTATAAAACTAAGCTTATCTTTTGACCCAGTAATGCCATTACTAGTCTGAACTGCAAAGAGAACAAAGAAAAGGGAAATGGACCTATAACACAAAAATATTCATTGTTTATTTTTAATAGCATAGATCAGAAGTATCAAACACATACCTGTGGGCTGAATGTGGCCCAAACCAGATGGTAATGTAATTGGGAAATATATACATATATACATGTGTGTATGTGTGTGTATGATTGTACATATATATATATATAGATATATATAGATATATATCTATATATATCTATATATATCTATGTATGTATATATATAAATACATGTGTATATATAAATACACACACACACACACACACACATATATATATATATATATATATTACAATGGAGTAAAGCCATATAAGATGTAGTTTATGAATACAGAATACCAAAAAATGAGCTTGATTGAAATCAGTTCAATCACGAAGCTTTTTGTACAAACATAAAGCTAAAGAAGCAAAAGAGGAGAAATATATGGATCATTGAAGGCTATCAAACTAAAATCAACCATTTTATTCCATGTTTAGAAGTCACAAACTCAGAAAATAAATGATAAATGGCTTGTATGAGAAAAGGCAATAAAATAGAGAAACTCATAAAGGAATTATGCCATATTTTCTAAGTCAGTGTTATCAAATAGAATCAGGGCTATTAAATTGTACATAAGGACCCCTACAGGCTATATACTGATTTAGAAAAGCACGTATTAACATCATCTATGACTTGCTGCTTGAAACAAAGGTTTAAGGTCTCTAAAGTTAATAGCCATATATAGTGTCTTGTTATCTTTGCTCAGCTACAGGTCAAAGTAACTGCATGTTAGTAAAAGTAAAGCTATGAGGCAGCTAGCTGGCTCAATGGACAAAACACTGAGCCTAGAGTCAGGAAGGCCTGAGTTCAGATCTGGCTTCGGACGCTCACTAGCTGTGTGACCCTGGGGAAGTCACTTAACCTCTGTTTCCCTTAATCCACTCAAGAAGGAAATGGCAAACTACTTGAGTACCTTTGCTAAAAAAAAAAAAAACAGGATTACAAAGAATCAGACATTAGTAAACAACAACAAAAATACAGCTGTCCAATTTAAATTCACAAATAAAGCACATTTATCTGTTGTGGCCACATCATGGCTTTTGCAGGATTTGTGGACAGTCTCTAACTAACACTTGAAAAGTCTGTTATTTCTTAGGTCAATATCAAGTTCATTGAGTGCATTTTCAGACAGCATGGCAAGAAAGGATCCAGAGATATTTCAACCAAAATAGCAACAAACAAATCTGAGTATATTTCTGCAGTGTTGACAGTTTCTATTTCCATAAAACTGCCCAGTGTGTGACCCTTTAGTAGAACTTAATTTACAGATTTCTCTTTCAATGAACCACCTATCGATGGTATCACATTGTCAGTCATGTAGCTGCACATCAAAGAGGTAAAACATGGGCTAAATTGCTCCAGGGAGTAGATTCTGAAAAAAATGAAATTTTGTGCATAATGTTTCCCCTCATTTCTATTCTTCTGGTACACAGAGTGAGAAGGAAGGCTTCGTTGGCCAATAAACTGCTCTAATTTTCACTCCAATTGTGGAATTTCAGATCTTCTAGTGTTTTGCATTGCACCAGGTCTCATGTCAGTATGACACCTTTAAAACAGCAAAGCTAATACTCTGGTGTATGTTATGATCTACATTAAAGTAAAACTCTGAAGTATCCATCATAGAGAAAATGAATAATCTCATCTTTCAGTAAATTTACTAATGTATCATTTTCTTAAACACGTGAATGTTAAAAAAAAAAATGTTTCAACAGACAAAATACCCAAAAAGCTCAAGGTAGTCTACTTCTTCCCCAAGATTTAATTCTAATACTTAAGATAGACTGTGTTTCTAAAATTCTATCCTTTAATTTGTCTGACAAATATATGAATCCCAAAGATTACAAGTACTCTGTTTTTGTAAAAACACAATTTTGCCAACTCAAAAATCAGCCTATAGTGTGATGTAGAATGGGATACAAGGGAGAACCCTTAAATGTGCAATTTCAGTATTTTGATCATTTTACTTTAACTGAAAAATAGGGAAGCTTATAGTCATGTACTTGTTCAGTTTACCCAGTAAAACACTGATTTATGCCTTCATTCATTAACTGCATTTTGTTGTTGCTTGACAATGAAGATAATGAAGTCACCAGAACTGAAAATTCTGTGCTCCTGGTTTCTACCCATAACAAAGTAATCGGGTTGCTACATCTGCTCATTGTTTTTAGTTACCCATTTGTACCTGGATCATTCTTTGTGAAATCATCTATTAGTAGGGTTGTACATCTCTTATCGGTAATCCCAGCTATGTGAATCACCAGTGATTCATCAAACAAGACACTCACCCCAATGTATCTGCCACCTTTCACACTGGAACATCAATGACAGTAATAACTAACATGTATAAAATACCTTTCAGATTTGAAGGCATTTTTCTCACGATACCCCACTGAGGTAGGTAGTGCATTCATTGTCACTTTTATTTTGAAGGTGAAGAAACTGGGGGACAAAGAAATAAAATTATTTAAACTTGGTGACTTAACTAAGAAAAAAAAAAACTTACATCATTTTATTATAAATCTTTCTACTTTTTCCAATACTCTGTTTAAAAAAAAGTCATTTGAACCCATGCCATTTGAATACATATTTTTCTAATGAGAATTATTCTCTGGCTCTTGACAAGTTTAGAGGTCCAAATTGAAAGACATTTTCACCACAGAAAAGAAATGAGATTGCAGGTAGGAATAATAATAACAAAATTAGCATTTATATAGTGTCTATTTGGTGCCAGTCACTGTTTTAAGCACTTTTTTTTTACAAATATTATCACATTTAATCCTCACAACAAGCTAGTGTGATAGGTGTTATTATTATCCCCACTTTACAGTTGAGGAAACTGAATTAGACAGGAGGTAAGTGGTTTACCCAAGGTCACACAGTTAGCAAGTGTCTGAAGCCACATTTGAACCCAGGTCTTCCTGACTCTAGACCCAGCACTCTATCCACTGTACCACCTAGCTGTCAAAATAAGTAACAGAAATAAGATTTTTTTAAACTTTTTAAAATCAATAACATAATTTCATCCCATGCCTGACATGTTTTAGCATCTGCACTCTACTCCCTTCTCTGTCATTCTCTATCTCTCTGAAAAATACCTAGAGAAATATATAAAAAAATGCAGAGAGAAATGTGACCAACATGGAGTTGGTTAGAATAGGTAGGTTATGGGTCATGTATTCAGGAAGCAGTAGATTCAACTACTCCCTTTAACCTGAGGGTAAGATTTATCAATATTGCTCAACTAGATGCATGTATTTGCATAATACAATGAAAATATTGATTTACAAGCTTCTAAAGCATCTTTGAGGCAATCTAGTTAGTAGAAAAGAAAATACAACAGGCATATATGTCCTTCATCTTATTCTTACATGGTTTTAATTTCTTTTCCTAAATCAGTTATGTTTTAAAAGCTTTTTATTCAACATAATTTAGATTACGAGTATAGGGCATGACCACATATATCAAAACTGTAGATTCTTAAGGTTTTATTGATCAATATTTTGTCTAAACCATTGTGGGCAACATTTCTTCCTGGAATGATGTTTTGATTCCATTATATATCATGCATGGAATTCTTCAGCATATTTTATATGCTGTCGATATTTCTAGCACTGGGATTTGTTTTGACTTAGCTTACAAAGGTAAATACAACTTCTTTAGTCTCCTAATTTTAGCCATGTAATTTTTGGCTTTTTTGGTATCAGGTAGATGGCAAATTTTTAATAATAGTGAATTGCTACATATTTACTATTACTTCATTGCACTATCCACGTGGGTCAATATGTCTAGGCTTTTGAAGGCTAACCATTCTATAATTTCTGTGAGTGATGACATTTTAAATAGCTATCATGAAGCCCTATCCTCCAGAAATTAAGTAAATTTGGCTCCATTCAACAAATCCTGTTACCAGCTTCTATTGATACTCAGTGATATCATCTTAAAAGTATATGTGAAAGTTTTTTACCTGTTTAGTTATGCCTTCTAAGAATGTCTATCAATCCTCCTATTCTTATTTTTTTGGCAAAGAAATGTTAATTTTATTATTGTTACCATAGGATGATGGGCCTTATGTTTATTTAATATTGTAGGATGCTTTCCAAATTGGTTATGGTATATTTCACAGTTCTGAAAGTATATATTTCTTAGGTGTTAATTGATTTAAATGTTGTTCCCATTCATCCCTCATTTCAGGATTCCTGTAAATCTCTTAATGTGTTCAGCTACAGTCTTCTTTTTCATATCTTTATGCTTAGTGTTTTTTACCTGGAGGAGACCAAGGCATTTGTTAAGTTTCACCTTCATCTGCTGGCTCAATATGATTTATAGATTTCAGTTCAAACTCTTTAATTTCTAGTTTTTCTTGTTTTATATTGAGTGTTTTGTTTCTTTGTTTGCTTATTATGCCAAAATTATATTTTGATATCATTGGGAAATAAATCCAGAAGAAGAAATTATTTCATTTCCTCAGTAGAAACCACAAAGTATATACCATGTACAAGAAATGACAAGATGCTTTAACTTATAAATCATAATTGATTCTTTTAAAGAGATGAGATTAAGAGATGAATTTATGTTCTTGTTGTTATTGTTGTTCAGTTATTTTCACCTGTGTCCAACTCTCCATGACTCAGTTTGGAATTTTCTTGGCAAATATACAGGAATGGTTGGCCATTTCTTTCTCCAGCTCATTTTACAGATGAGGAAACTAAGGCAAAGAAGATTAAGTTACTTACGTAGGGTCACATAGCTACCAAGAGTCTGAGGCCAGATTTGCACTCAGAAGATGAGTGTTTCTGTCTCCAGGCCTGACACTTTATCCATTGTGACACTTATCTGTCTTTTTAGGTAGAGTAGATGAGGTCACAAAGAGACTTCCCACTTTACACCCCTATAAAAAAAAAAGTCATGTTTTAGATCCTTTGTTCTTGACATTACTGAGTTGGTAGTGTGTTTTAAATACTGAAGACTTTTTTTTTAATAACTTAAAAAAATAAAATTCCAATTTATTATTGGACAGCATGTTTTACATGTACATCAAACAGACAAATTTTTTTCAAACAAAACAAAAAAAGAAAAAAAACCCAAAAAGTATAACATCAGAGACACAGAAAAAAAGAAAGAAAAAAGAAATACATTTTATTTTTGGCCTTTTAACCATCTCATACAAACCAACTACTTATTGTACAGCTAAGTTTAGACACACACAAAATGTTATTGGAATGCTCAGAATAAGATTGCATTTTTGTCATCATTTTTGCTTTTTTCTTTTTTCTCCTTTGAGATCATAAGGAATATGGTCATACCACAAGTAAACTCAGGACAGAGAACATGTCAAAGGCTGGTCATATGAGATAATAGAAAAATGTCTGACCTCCCCCCACCAACAATATGTAAAAAAATATAAAATGTAAATAAAAATAAATGTTCCTTGTTAAAATACTTTTAAGAAAAAAATACAGGGCCTTGGAATTTTTATCTGCTTTTTTGTTTCCTCGCCTGTTGGCAATTCTCATTGGTGATTGGTATTGATTAGTAGGTCAGGAGAGTGCCTGTTATCTGGGTGGGTGGTGGCATGCCTTTGGGCTGAGTCTCTTTATTTGAAAGTGAACATATTTAGATTCTGAGGTGGGAAGTTGAGGGTGAATAGGTCACAGTGGACTTTTCTTTTCTTCATCTCTCTCTCTCTCTCTCTCTCTCTCTCTCTCTCTCTCTCTCTCTCTCTGTCTGTCTCTCTCTCTTTCTCTCTCAATTTAAAACTTTTCCCTTTTTTCTTTGCAAAAAGTAGTAATGAAGAATTTAACCATGAAGATATAAAAACTCTGAGATTCTTACTGTACTTTGGTTTATTTTATGTTTCCAGTAAATAAATAGGACAAGGGTAAAAGGCTTTTCATAATAAAAAAGAGGAGGCAATTCCGCTTCCAGGAGCCAAGATGGCAGAGTAAAATGGTAGTCGCTTTCACCCTCCTCTATCAACCTCTGAAATCTGAGAAAATATCACCCCAGACAAAAAAAAAAAACCTGGAACAGCTGAACTAGAAGAAAGATGGGTAACAGCAGTGCAGCAGCCCAGCAAATGGCTCTTCCAGTACCTCAGCAAAAATAATGGAAGCAGCACTACAAAGGACCCCAGGTGGCTAAGCACTCTGCAGCATTCAACTGAAAGGAGCTGAAGAAAGCCACATAGAGTCTTCTTAAAGTCCCACCATTGATGATTACAACCTAACACCAGGTAAGTTGTCAGAACCCTACAGCCTCCAACTGTCAATCAGGAAGAGATCCTGAAATCCAGGTGGTAGAGCAGGCAAACAACAACACCTCTGAGTGGTGGACCTCTGCATGCCTCAGTGAGGGCTCAGAAAACCACTACCACACTCTACAGCAAAGGAATCTCCCAGTGCATTAGCAGAAACAAGGGAAGCAACATTGCAAGAGGCCCCAGGCAGATAAACACCCTGCAGCACCCATCTAAAAGGAGCTGAAAAAAGGTAAAGGAAAGGAAAAGCAGGCAACCTAGAATTTCTTGAAAGTTCCAGCCTTGCTGATTCTAGCCCAACACAAGGTATGCTGCCAGAACCCTACAGCCTCCAATTGCCAACATCAGAGGCCCCAGCACACAAGGCCAGTGATCAGGACCTAGGCTCCCAAAACAAGAAGGTTGGGTCAGTGCCCTCTGTTCCCCAGCAGAAGAGCTCAATGTCTTTAAAGGACAGAGAATAAGGAAACCATGAGCAAAAAGAAATGTACCATAGATTCATATTATGAGAAGAGTTAAGATCTAAAGAGAAATTCTGAAGAGGACAACATTATCAACAAACCCACATCTGCAACATCAAAAGGGAATATGAACTGGTCTGAAGCCCAAAAAGCCTTCTTAGAAGAGCTCAAGAAGGATTTTAAAAGTCTAATGAGAAGAAGAAAGTCCTTAAAAATACAATTGGCCAATTGGAAAAAGTACACTGAAGAAAACAAGTCCCTAAAAAACACAATTGGCAAACTAGAAAAAAAGTACACTGAGGAAAACAAATCCCTTAAAACTACAGTTGGCCAAGTTGAGAAGGAACTACAAAAACTAGCAAAAGAAAAAATCTGTTAAAAACTAGAATCGAACAAGTGGAAACTAACAACTATATGAGAAAGCAAGAATCAGTCAAACAGAAAAAAAATGAAAAAAATAGATTAACACATAAAATACCTCATCGGTAAAACAACTGACCTAGAAAATCTATCCAAGAGAGACAATTTAAAAATCATTGGACTGCCTGAAAATCATGATGAAAAAAAAGAGCCTGGACAGTATCTTTCAGGAAATCATAAAGGAAAACTGCTGAAGTCCTAGAACCAGAAGGTAAAATAACCATAGAAAGAATATACCACTCTCACCACCTGAAAGAATCCAAATTGACAATACCAAGGAATACTATAGCAAAATTCCAAAATTACCAGATGAAAGAGAAGTTGCTTCAAGCAGCCAGAAAGAAACAATTTAAATATCATGGAACCACACCCAGGATTACACAGGACCTTGCAGCTTCTACATTAAAAGACCACAGGGAGTGGAGCATGATATTCCATAAGGTAAAGGAGCTTGGATTGCAGCCAAGGATCAACTACCCTGCAAAAGTGAGCATTATTTTTCAAGGGAGAAGATGGATATTCAAGGAAATAGGGGACTTCCAAACCTTCCTGATAAAAAGACCAGAGCTCAACAAAAATTTGATCTTCAAGTACAAGATTCAAGAAAGACATAAAAAGGTAAATGGGATAGAAAGACACAAAATATTGTTAATGAGGGCGGACTGTTTACATCCCTACAAGGGAAGGTGAACCTTGCAACTCTTCAGCACTGTATTGTTATTACGCCATGTTAAAGGAGTGTACATAAAGGGGTGGATATTAGTTGACTTTGATGTAATGATAAAAAAAATCTAATCAAGTAGGTTAAATGGATCTAAGTGGATTAGTCTGATCTTAGAAAATGTACTGAGAAAGGAGGAGGCAGAAAAGGGTAAATTAAATTACAGGAAGACAGAAAATCCTATTACAGCAGAGAGAAAGAAGGGAGAGGGGAGAGCATTATTTGAACCTTACTGTCATCAGATTTGGCTTATGAATAACATAGAAGGGAATAATATAGCATTATCGTTTAGGTATAGAAATCTAACTTGCCCTAGAGGCAGTAGGAGGGAAAAGGGAAAATAAAAGGGAGGGGGGATAAAAGGGAGGGAAGAAGCAGTAAGGGCAAAGGGGAAGAAAAGGGAATGGGATAATAGAAGGGAGGAGAAATTGAAGGAGGCAGTGGTCAAAAGCAAAACACTAGTGAGGGGGGCAAAGAAGAAAGGAGAAAGAAAAGCATAAATGGGGAAAAAAGATGGAGAAAAAGACACAGATAGTAATCATGACTGTGAAAGTTGAATAGCTTTTTTTTCTCTATTGAGTTTTGTTTACTCTTTCTAATGGTTCCTCCTATTGCTTTTAATTTTTACTTACAACTTCACTAATGTGAAAATATGTTTAATAGGAATGTAAATGTATAGCCTATATCAGATTGTGTGCCATCTTGGGCAGAGTGGTGGGGAGGAGGGGCGAGAAAAATTTTAAACTGAAAAGCATATGAAAGTGATTGTTGATAAATCAAAATGAATTAATAAAATAAAAAAATAAAAAAGAGGAGGGGTGGGAAAATGTTACAGCATTTTTAGGTAACTTGTTGAGTAACTGCAAAATCAGTAGTAATTTGTTTTTTTTACACACCTGGAACTTTTATGCATACCTTTTTTACTTCTCATCCAGTTTTTTTTTTTTGTAAATGCTTAGACATTTATGTGGTTTTTCTTTTGGGAGGTAGTGCTTAACTGTGAATACATTTATAAAGTATATAAACACATAATTAATTATGTGGTTGCTAGTATTCTTACCTTTTGGCAAAATATTTGTGGTACCATTTGGTAAGAAAGGAAGAAATTAAAGTGACTTCTAAGAAGCTGGTATGGTACTTTACTAATAACTAATATGACACTGAGAAGTGTTTTAGCTTTGAATTATGCATATTATCCAAGCCTAACTTCTTGTACTTTTTTTTTTTTAGTGAGGCTAGTACTTTAGGGATCTCTCTTATATAACTCCTGTCATTCTTTGTATTTATACCAAAGACTGCATAATTCTTAGTTGATCTGATTTGTGTTTTCACTGTTTTGGATTTTGTATGATCATATAGATACTCAGAAATTTTCCACATCTTTGTTCTTAGAGAGTTATTTCTTGCTTCTGTTTTCTGAAAGGCTCAGGTCTCTGTAATGAATTTTTTGTTTGATGTTGAAATATTTGGTTTTGTTTGAGCGTGTGTGTGCATGTGTGTGTTGCTTGTATTGCCTTAACCTTTTAATTGCTGAGAAAAGAAAAAAAATTGTGATAAACTTTTGTTTACTGCATTCTTTGTGTGATGTTTGAGATTTCTATTGTTTGAGTCATCTTGGTTCTGATATTATCTTCCAAATTCATTTTATAATTTTTAAAAACTATCCTAAGTTTCTTCTTCCGGAATGTAATTGATCTTCTTCCTTAGACATATTTCTTGATAGCCCCACCTACCATGGCAGTGGCTACCACATATATTTCTGTGTGTTGATCTTGAACTAGTTATGTGGGAGAATGCATTTATTCATGACGGCCATTACAAATGTCAGCTTTTAAAATGATTATGTAATTTGTATGATTGGTCTACTTATTAGATTCATTCTGTTAAACTGAAGAAATGACTTTCTGAAA